TAATTGAAATAAATGCTTTGCCTTTGACATAAAAATAACGTGAAGATTGCAAAATGGTATCTACCATATAACTACATTGTGTCTTCCACTAATCAAACACCCTGTAATAATTGGGTTGTGTCTAGGGTATCAAAATTAAAAATCTAATTAGTCCGTCAGTTAGATAATGAAAAAAATATTAGACACGTATTTTTTTATTTTCTCATATTAAGTTGCAATACTTAGATAAAATGGCGCTAAGTTAAGGAGTGGGAGGTCGTTATGTCATAACGTGCTACAAAATGTAGCACTCTGTGACGTCACATGATATTCAAATTAATATATCGTCAAAAGTATTTAATTTTGTGAGAAAAGAAAAATACGTGTCTAAAGTTTTAAATGAATGTACCAGACGGATATTAAAATAAAATTTAGGAAACTATTAACCTATTGTCACAACAAACAATGAAAAAAAAACATTCCTTCTTATATTTTAAAAGCTTTTATTATCTCCCACTCAAAATAATAATCTATTTTAATTCTACTATCAACATGAATACAAGCAAACCATTAAATTAAATGATTATAACACCAATTACCATCAAATAAGCTGTCTTTTAGCTTGTAAACTAAATTCATACACTGACCGCTAATTATGATACTATCGACACCTAATTATTTTAATACATTTATCTATTGTTTTCCTAATATTCTAGCTATAATATTTTAATATGGTAATGTGTGCATAATTCTCTAGTAAATAGGTCTATTTTTGATTAGCAGCATCAAGGTCTGATCTAAACTAAATTGGCATTAATCTGTAGAATACTTAATAAAAATTATTTGCTTACTTTCGGAACATAAAGTATGGAAAACAATATAATGGCTTTGATGACTAAGAAGTTTAGGCCGGTAACGCACTTGTAACGCTTCTGGTGTTCCAAGTGTCCATAGGTGACGCCAATTGCTTGCCATTAGGTGATCCGTCTACTCGTTTACCTGCTCGGCTAATTTAAAAAATTAATTAAGATCTTATTAATAAAAAGCTCAATAGCTGCATAGAGATATTGAGTTCTATCCACTAAATATAGCTATTGTTACTATTTTTCTAGACTATGAACGTTGACTATTGGTAACTGTATATAAGCTACAAGCTTTTATTTGTTCATATCTTGTGCTAAAATCAAAATCTTTTCAAATAAAAAAATAATGGCACTTATTAAACATCAAAAATATACAAATAATCTAAACATATCCGTCGTCTGTCACTAGTGAAGCGCAATGTATTCTTGAACAAAATTTGGAATCTTTCTAAAGTTTGTGCTTATTATTTTGGATAACTTTATTTCGCTGGTTCTCCCACGTATGGCGTAGTACCGGTCCAGGTTATTTTTGCGTCTTGCCACCTGTAACAAAATATACAATACTAAATTAATTTCTTAACATTATATTAACTTATGATTTAAAGTGCCAGCTTCTCATGCATACAGATGCTGATTCAAAACCTACCAACAGCAAGTACCAATGTGAATTTTTCCGAGTTATACATATGTATGTACTTTTTAACCCGTCGAGCGTCCGCGTTCCTTATGGCCCAACGGGTGCACACGTGACATTTGGAGAAAGAAAGAAATAAAGAAAGAAATCGCATTTATTTGGCCATTAGCACACGAAAACAAGGATCATTACAATAGAAATAAAAATACAGTCAAAATAAAAACAAAACATTAATAATAGATTTTATAAAAGAGAAAGCATCATGGAGCATTTTTTCTTATGATCCACCGGGTGCTCCTAAGGACGCTCGAGGGGTTAAGATTATTTCCGAGTCATATGTAGGTACTTTCTAAGATTATTTGGACACCAACTGACAAAGTCATTGACATGGACAAAGTCGCGAGAAAAAGCTAGCTAGGGATACAATTGAGAAGAATTTTGATTTAGTTAAAGCTCTCGATAATTAATCTACAAAATGTTATGTAATACATAAAACTTCCATACATAATTAAAAGTTTCTAATAAACGTGTAAACTGATACAAATTTCAGCTGAAACTTTAGTTTACAATCTTCTAAAACCATGTATTTTGTTAAATAAACGTTAATTATTTTGTAGGCGTAGCTTCCCAGTTGCCACGCTGGTACTGTAGTGGTAAATTTTACTAGGATCTATCTTCACTTTTAGTCTCGGGTACATAGAGTTATATTCGCATTGTTATTTTTTTTTTGCCCGAGCTAGAAATTGAACTCACAACCTGCTTGCTCGGTAGTTTGCTTACGAACACTCGACGGACTATTATTAAAATAACATAACATAAACATAACATAACATCACGCCTTTTATCCAATATTATAAGGGGTAGGTAGAGGTACACATCATGCTACATTACAATGTAACACCCACTTTTCACTATTTATGTTATGAGTCCCATGTAATAGGGGGCGAACCTATTGCCATATACCGGGCACAATTCCAGACCCCGTGCTACTACTGAGATTTTTTTTCAAAAACCCAGTAATACTTTGCCCGACCCGGGAATCGAACCGGAGCCCCTTGCCCGGCAGTCGCACTTGCGACCACTCGGCCAATGAAGCAGTCGACTATTATTATTAAGGCAATAAAAAAGCAAAAAGAAAAACGGTAAATATTGGTTACTTCGTATGTATCAATTTCTCAAGCGGTGTAGCGCTGATGTCATCAGTTCGTAGAGTCCCAACCGCGTCATCATGAGCCCGAGTGTCCACATTCAGCAGAACGTTGCAACCGCCACAAGTGTAGTAGTGAATATCGAACCTTAAAACCGAGATATGAGAGTTCAAATCACATTGTTACAAGAAAATGTGAGGATATTATTTAAAGTGTAATTGCGAGGTTTTTATGTGATCGAAGGGTTTCGTTTGAAGGTATATTGAGTTCATTTTAGTTGATTGAAAACAAAATATTGAAAATCTGAATCTATCGATTTCTACCACATTTTTTTATAACAATTTTCGTTCAAAAGCTGAAGAACCAACCTATATAATATTTGAAAGCTGCAAATTATCAAAAAAAAAAATTTTTGTTACCTTCGTTCAGCATGATAGTTTCGAAGCAGTTCACGATTTGTGTTGAAGAGGACCCCGTAGTGCCCGGAGCAACTGGTAACCTGAAACACAATCCAATTCATAATAGCCCCTTACTTCTAAAACTCGTAGTTGCCTTTTCCAAATAATTAACAACCACTCATCTATATAGAAAGGCCAGACAAAACTGTAAGCATATAGAATTGAGTCACGCGTTACTTTTTGGAAATCCATGCTTCACTAACATCTGGATTCGCAGTAGCTTCAGCAGAATAAAAACTAAATATTTTCCAGTTGTTAGTAATTTACAGTATTGTTTTATAATTCGTCTTATGTTCTTTACATTTTCTACAATCGTTTAAGTTAAAACTTTCTTGAAACTTACTACATTAAGTGCATTACAGATGTGTAGCAGCGCGCTGCTACTGATGAGTAGCAGCGCGACAGTTGCCGCGTAGTCTGGAATACTGCTCATAATTGTAATGAGCCAAGTCTAGCATGGCGTGATACTAGTTGAGTTCCTTGTCAAACAGATACGTGAGTAAACTGACAATATAATAATTAATTTTCAACGATGACCCATAATTCGATAATTACAAGACTTGTACTGGCATACTGCACAGTTGGCGCGGTGGCTGAGCAACTGGCTGCCGCGCAACGTGGCGCGGGTTCGATTCCCGCACGGAACAACTCTTTGTATGATCCACAGATTGTTGTTCCGGGTCTGGGTGTCATGTGTATGTGATATTGTATGTTTGTAAACGCACCCACGACACAGGAGAAAATCCTAGAGTGGGGCAACGTTTAAAAAAAAAAATCAAATAATAATCATAATAATTATTGGCGTAAAATTATGATAAGTTTCCACTCACCCAAATAGGAAGAGCTGGAGTCTTCAACCTGGATCCAGGAAACTGCTTATTGATATTATTCTTGGAGTTTTCTTCTCCTCCGTACCATACTAAAAGACCAACTGGACTGCGAGACAGTATCCCAAATTGGGGCATTGCCTACAATAAAAATGACATATCAACCAAAGAACTATATACAAGGTGTAGTTTTGAAGCCGTGTCATTTCTCGAGGGCATGTCACAAAAGTCATAAAGGTTCAATATAAGTGAAAGTTTCGGACCAGTAGTTAAAAATACGGCTATAATAAATCGTTTAAGTTCGACAGTATTTCAGAATAAGCGACAGCAATGTTTCTTATTGGAGTTTTATGGAATTAGTTTTATTTCCGCGTTATAGGTAAAGCTAGTTACAAGACGTCGGCGTGTACTTCGCACTTACGGATTTCCGTAATTTCAGAAAAATGAAAAATATTTACCGACAATTTTTTATTGATTCGGACTCAGAATCGATATCCAAGTTACCTCCTAGAAAATGACGTGGCTTTCAAACAACACCTTTAATTCATTTATTCAAATAAAAAACTTAAATTAAAAACTAACTATTACTTAAAAAAAAAAAAATTAAAACTAAATATTACTAAATTAAAACTAAAAAATTAAAACTAAATATTACTAAATTAAATACCTATATATGAACAACACCTTGTATATGATTTGGATTTAACGCAATAGTTATTGAAACAAACGGCTACTAGAATCGGGAACTAATAATGTCATAAAGATTAAAATTTGGAGAAATAAACAACGAGTCCTGTTTATCCTGTGTATCTGTTTGCCTCTCATCAGTTCATTGAATTTGTTTCAATTAATTTCGAACTACTTCATAAACATTTTAAATTGATGTTGTGCATTTTAGATTGATGGTGTGTGTGTTAAGCATGTTGTGTACTTCAAATTCTTTATTTGTTTTTATTTGTAAGTTTCCTCAATAAGAAAATAAGGTGATTTGTTACACTAGATTATTTATTTCATTTTAAAATTCGGCTGCACAATAGGAGCAGTTCAGAATGTTACACAATATTATGCTCATACCGTAGTATTGTATTTTCTCAGAAAGATAATAATTCTAACAACATACTCACATAATGATCTTCATCACCGACATACAGGACGCCATTATGAAGATACGGAGTAGCGCGACCGGTGAGGAGCAGCGTCACCACATTTATAGATCCTTCTACGTGCGCTGAGACCAGGTGGGTGATCTTACCGTCCAGGTCTTTCTTTATACTGGCCAAAAGAAAATGAATGATTCCATTTATTTGACAACAGAGCTCTGTGACTAATAAAATAGATGAATATCATGATGTACTGAACTATTTGCTTTTTATGTAGGAATAATATAAAAAGCATCCACAACATCAGCAGCACCCTCAACCATCAACAGCCTATAAATGCCCACTGCTGAGCAAAGCCTCTTCTCACGCTTGGTCATTGCGGGTTGGCGATTTCAAACTTATAATTAGAAATTATAAGTCCAGGTTTCTTTACGATGTTTTCCTTCAGCGTTTGTAAGTGGTGTTTAAATAATCTTATAAAGTACATATTACTCCGAAAAAGTCACATTGGTACTTGCCGTTGGCAGATTTCGAACACGCACCCTCATGCATGAGAAGCGGGCGTCTTAACCTCCGGTACACCGCGACAGTTTAAAAGCATATCACTATTAGAAAACTGTTAGTTGAATCTTCTGAATTTAAATTTTAGATAGAACTGTGACAGTTGTTGTGTTATTTCGTATGTGTTCGATAGAAGGAACCATTAATGTACATACTATTATAGTTATTGATTTAAAAATCTCCTGTTCGCTCGGAGGTCTAATACATGAGAGTGCGGATTCGAAACTTACCAACAGCAAGTACCAATCTGACTTTGTCCGAGTTATAATTATGTACTTTCTAAGATTATTTAGACATTACAGACAATCGGTGAAGGATAACACCTGGATTTTATAATTTAAAATTAGGTTGAAACTCGCCAACTCGCATTGAGCAAGCTTGGTGATTATTGCTCAAACCTTTTCCGTGTGAGAAGAGGCCTTTGGTCAGCAGTGATCACTTATAGAGTGGTTGTTGTGTTGATGTGACAGTTTTTGATTTAATATATAATGGTGATTAAACACAACAGTTAAATGACTTACTTATCGCAACCTCTCGATAAAACACAAGCATACAGCAACAGCAATGCTCCAACACCGTCCTCAGTTTGAAACTGTTAACATAATTAATAGTTGTTTATTGACGTAGTAGCATGGAGTCTGGAATTGTGCCCGGTATATGGCAATAGGCTCACCCCCTATTACAAGGGACTCATAACATAAATAGTGAAAAGTGGGTGTTACATTGTACAGAGGCATACTGTGCACATCTGCCTAACCCTTCGGGGATAAAAGGCGTGATGTTATGTTATGTACTTAATGCATTTCCCTTAATCCAAATAGAATAACTGTTGGCTTTTCATGTATTAAATAAATGAATAACTCACACTTACCAAATACAAATATCGCTTCAGAAATATTTGAAGATCCTCCAAACTAGTGAATTCGAAGATATGCAGCTTGTAACAGAATTTCATTTATGAAAACATCTGAAAATAAACTGTAGCTTTAAAGAATTTTATGTTTTTACGAATAGTAATGTAATATTTATTCGGACTTGCCTTTAATACGCTTTATATTTTTTATATGTAACTAATACGCATAAATTACAGTGTAGACAAAATCACTAGAAGCGTTTTTTAATAATCATGAACCTTTTAATTTAGGATCTAGTAAAGTCAGCCGATATCGCATATCATACATGGCGATAATGCACGAGAAGGAGACCTGTGTCACAATATGTTGCCAGACATGTCGACCAAAGTCTAGCGACGTTGTGCTACTTCACACAACGCCGCTGGCGACACGTGTCGCAGGACATTTTGTCCTTTAGTGTATCCTCGGTTGGTATTACATTGTTCTCACATTATTGAACTCAACGAAAGAATGAAACCAAAAATTGTATTGTGAACATGATTGAAAAAGAGTAACCTATGGAGTTTCTTGCTCGTTCTTCTCCATAGGAATCTACACTTTGGAACGAGCAAATAGCTTCACTAGAGGACTGACCTACAGACTGACATTTTTTCTTATTATTTAATATTTAAGTATTTTGTTTTGACGTTCAAAGTGCCTTACTGGTCTAATTGAAATAAATGATTTTGACTTTGACATTGACTCGGCTTGAACCAACCTAACAAACGTAAATATATGGCAATACCCTCATATTAAGAGGACATTCATAGTCTAGCATTGGACTCTCACGTACGTGTTTATCTGTATTGTAACTTAAACTATACCTTCTCAGTAACTCCGTCTTGGTAATACTGAGAACTGTGTTGGACATAACAGTGGTCCGTTGGCAATGCTACCACTGCCTTGGGTTCCACTCCAGCCTGACCGGAGTTTCCACCACCACATCGCCAGATCACTTCGCTGCACGCACGCCATAAGGCTTCTTCCTGACGATCTTCTGAAGGCCGAAGATACCTGAATGAACAAACGAGCGTTGTTTCTCAAAAAACATATTACGTTTTTTTATCGTATCAAGTCTTTGCCTCTTTTATATTGAAATTGAATTGTAATCGTATGAAAATGTATAATTATGACGTTTTTATCCTTTTGAACAACTTTTGTAGATAAACTAATAAACTAGAATAAAAACATTTGTATATCCATTGGCAAATAACATTGGTTTAAAAGCTCTAAGTACATGCCTTAAAGCCTTTGAGTACCGTCATTATAGACACAATTAAAGAATAATTAGTTGCGGTCACCGGTGTCCTCGCGGTGTTTGATAGTTTAATGAACATTTTTCAATGACAAGATTATCTCTTTTACTATCTACACTTGTATAATAATTCACTAAATATCATCAATATCTCGTAAACACAACAATCATAATACACCATCAAATTTTTGATAAAGTAAAATGATTAATCAAAACAGATTTACGCCTGAATGAGTTCAGACGATAAATTTTCAATGGATCCCCTTCTTAGCCATTACAATAAATTACAATACTGTTAGTGTAATCCGACTTTGGTAACAAATTATTTCGAAATATTCTATTATTACGCCAAGACGACCATATTATTTAAAACAAATGGTTTATTATTCTCTTGAATGGGGTATTTTCGTGAACATGCCAGACCCTTTATCTGATCGTGTAAAGATGTATGAGTATCGTCTGACTTTCAGTTTGCCGAGCGAGATTTTTTATTAAATTTCTTGGGGTATAATTCCATAAAAATACGTTAAAATACATCAAATGTCTTATTTTTGAAGATCAACTAGAAACATTCATGTGGTCTTCGTGAAGTTTTCAACATTTTGAGTTTACATTTATGCACCGAACACTTTTTTAATAAACGCACTTAAAAATTTGACGTTATAAGTGCCATAATGTGCAACTCTGTTTAACCCTTCGGGGATTTAATGCATGTAATATCATGTAAAACAACAAAATATTTCCGCTAACCTGTACCTAAGCATCGAACTAAACTTTACATCAACAACTTGCGCAAACACCGTTCAGAATTCACGATTACAATAAAATCTACTTCTCCTTCAATAATATACGGGTGTGTGAAATATAAGCGATGCCGATGGTGGGACCATAAAATCGACCATTTGAACTAAAATATTGTTCGACGATGCATAGTGCAGATTTATGCCAAAACACGTGGCGTACTCTAGAATTATGATCGGCATTTTGAAGCAATGCTGTATGCCTTTGCGCACAGAATTTCTAGATTATTAAGAGGAACGATAATATTATTGTAAATATCATAGACGTAACTACGAATAACACTAATATTATAATTTGTGAAATATTCTTTGTTTGGATATTTGTTTGATGAAACTACTGCACGAATCTTGATCAAAATTTGGTGTGCAGGCAGGATATGGGCTGACTTAGGTGATAGGATATACTTGTTGTCCCGATTAAATGCTCCCATGGGATAAAATATAATTCATTATTCTAAGCTAGCAATGAATTATTTTACGTACTAAAGGACTTTTACTTTAGTAGGCTCATAGATTACACGTTTTCAATTCTTACCTATTTCTAACTTCTCCCTTAGTACAATCCATTATTAGGTAGGTTTATACTAGGAATTACAAAATGCCGATAGTATTTTATCTACCCAGAGATTAACTTGATCAAGGAGACAAACTGATTAGTAACAATATTCATATTAAAATCAGAACTATTGAAATAATACTGAAGCCCTGTTGTAACAAAAGTTTATAATTCAAACAAAAGGCGGGTTAAAGTTTTAAGCCGTATCTACATCTATGGAATAATATTACCAATTAATACGTACGGTTTAAATGATTGTTCGCTAAAATTTTAAGCTTTGCCTACCCAACCGTTTGTTAGTGGTAATTCAATAGAATGACCAATTCAATTAGCTGCCGTGTATTATTTCATTCCACATTTATTTCACTTGGTTGTAGTAGTGAAAAACATTGTTCATTTATGATTGTTTAATGAGGATTTTAAGCAAGTATCAATATCAAATATAATAATATCAAATATCAAGAAAGATTCAATAACAACTGTGTCTTTATTTAGATTTCATTTATAACATCTACCAAGTTTACTATTACTATCCGGTATCCGGATAGTAAATAACAGCCGAATAAGCCGGATACCGGATAGTAACCGAGTATTCGGTGCATCTCTAATAAAATTATATGGAGTGATGATAAAACTGGTATGATAAATGTCCCACCAATACGTACGAAGCGCTTCGCATCAAGCTTCGTAGTGCGTACTGCTAAGGAGTGGATTTCCTGAAGAGTAAAACCTGGGTGTCTTTAAGGCCCAAGTGAATATGTTGCTTATGGGACGACATGCTCCATCGTAGACCACATCATCGCTTACCACCAGACGAGATAGTCAAACGTCGGCCCATCAAATATAAAAAAATACTTATTTAATTTATATTTTCTGAAGTTGATATAAATGGATAAGTATCTGATATGACATGTACTATACATACTTAAAATTATACGCAATTTGATGATACTGAAATTATTAATAATAACATCTTTAATGCAGGAATAGGATCAAAGACATTATAGCACTACGATCACCTCAACACAGAGGTAGTCTAAAATTTTTACGACAGAGAAGCAAAAACTTGACACTGTTCAAGACTGACTATAAACCTAGACAGAGTCATAAAATTCCCTAAAAGAATACCACCCTTCTACTTAAAGTGAACAGGAGCACAAACCATCGATATCAAAGGCGTAAATATTTTTATACCCCGTTCCTCAAGATAACCGCTTCACCACTAGAGAACAGCGTACTTCCAAACGGGCATCATTTGTTATAACCAGGCATGAGTATGAGAGAAAACGCTTATAATTTTTACACCAAACAGCTTCGGGTTAAAACAATATTGTAAGCACATTTTTATATGATAGATTGATGGCATAATGTTATGTTTCTCTTTTATTAAAATATTTATTTGGTTATTAATATTTTGTCATTGGATTTTGTTTGTTACATGACATTAAGTGTGGGAGAGCCATGCTTCGGCACGAATGGGCCAGCTCGACCGGAGTGATACCACGGCCTCACAGAAAACCGACGTGAAACAACGTTTGTGCTTGCGTTGTGTTTCGTCGTGTGAGTGAGGTTACCAGAGGCCCAATTACCCTCCCCTTACCCAATCTCCCCAATCCCTGAATCCCCAACGATCCTCAAACTCTTTATCCCCAAATAGCTGGTATCGCACTTGTAACGCCTCTGGTGTTCGACGTGTCCATGAGCGACGCCGATTGCTTACCATCAGGTGGTCAGTCTGCTCGTATACCGGCTTATGCCATAAAAAAAATTATGACAACGATTACAACGATTTATACAACCTATCCATCTTCTGTTTAGTCGTCCTTATTTTTTCTTTTCTTCTCTCTTCTCCTTTGATAATCAGTCACTTACCTTTCTTGTAATGATTTTCATCTTCTCCTTTTATCAATAAAATCTACTTACTTCTTTTACGTTTTCCTTAACCCGTACTGTGTACAGTCTGAATGTATGACGTCTTCATATACCATTACTATGAAGACTTCATATACTATTACTATGACATTCAGACTGTACGATGGACTTGAGTATTGTCAGTACATTAGTGTTAGAAAACGAATTTACTAGATAAACATTATTCTACTCACGTGTCTGGAGGGACATCGCACTTATTGTCCTTAGTCTTTGGCCTCGAATCGAACAGCAGCCACTTGATTACATGAGCTTGAAGCGCTGACAGCAAAGATCTGTATAGAACGAATTGTGTTGGAAAATAACAAAGCCAATTTCAATCTTATATTGCTTTTAGAATAAAGTCGAAAATCCATAATGGGATTTAAATAGATTGGTTTAGTTTGATGACTATGTAGTCTGATAGACGATTCATATGAAGGGTTTTCTTGTACCTAGTCGCAGTATGCGCTTCACTACCTTTGTTGAAATAACATTGTTATATTAACCAGTAAATTTAATTATAAACGCTATACAATACCTAGCTCCATTTCTTGGGGCTGCTAGTCCATAGCCAAGTGGCTGATCAGGTGGCCTCATCACTAATGGAGTACGAATCCATTCTCCACGAGGTGGACAAGAGGTTGAGCTGAAGCAGGTAACCCGAAGTTCCTATACAAAGATGGTATAACTGCCTTTAGTGAAAAAAATAAAATGAGTCTAAGTAATTTCAAATTAAGAAGAAAGTATTTCAATGCATGCACTAGATTTCAAAAAAGTAGTACCAAATTGTTAGAAAATCGCGGGATACTCACGAGAAAATACTGAAAAAAGCTCTACTGGTTTCGAACCATAGAGGGGTTCTTCCTCATGAGCAGCGGTCGCAGCGATGTCGTGCTGCCTACTACTTTTCTCAGCAGTTTTACGTTGGTAACCCAGGATCTTTAATTATTTTGGTATATGTCGCGATAGTTATTATAAAAAAGTACAATAAACAAATAAGCCTTTTAATATTTGGTCCTAATGATCTTTACAGCGAGTCAGAGGACCAAAAATCAATTGTAAACGTCCGAAACGGATTACAGAAGGTCTAACAAAGACTAGGATGTTCACAATATACTCACAGCCGCCAACTCTTCAGTTATCGGCTTTCCACCGACCACAGCTGGTCTAGCCCCATTCAATAACTTGTTCCTCGCGTACAAAACGCGCTCTGAAAAGGATTTATAGTTTCATTCCTCTACTCTAAAAGACAGCTTTCAATTTTGTTAGGAATTAATGCTTCGGAAAAATACGACAGGTAGTAAAACGTAGTGGATTTTATTGTTATAGTCAAGCTGTCGTAATAAATAATATAAAACAATAAAAATGACGATGACACTTTGAATTGTGCGATGAATCTTTTAATGTTTCTTAGATTTTTCAATCTTTAAATTTTTTTTAAAGAATGAACATAGTTGTGTCAATTTATCATCTGTATCATCATAACATAATATCACACCATTTTATCCCTGAAGGGGTAGGCAGAGGTGCACACTATTTATGTTATGAGCCCCATGTAATAGGGGTGAGCCTATTGCCATATACCAGGCACATTTCCAGACTCCGTGCTACTACTGAGATTTTTAAAAAAACCAGTAATAGTCATTTGAAGTTATCTCATAAACCTTATAAATAGCGCTAAAATTGTAAACTCAAAAGATTATCCCCAAATAAAATCAAATTATATGAAGGTACATTTAATAATCCATTTACGTGACAATTTCAAGAATATAACCAGCAATATTCGTAATTTCCAGAGGTATTCAAGTATCACATTTTTCTTTTTCCATACCTGTCCAAGAAATCCTTACTTTCTCACATAAATGGACCCCCCTTTGAATCCTGTTAGCTGAACCATTGTTAGGATCACAATACATTCCAATTACGAAGGTTTCATACCAGATTTTTGCTGCCTCCATAACTTGAAATGTATTTAGGAAAAAACGAAAATGAAATGGACGATGGCGTCGTGCGGTTCTATATTTGCAATGGTTATAGAATGATTTATCGTTGTATATTAATTTCATTTTATTATAACACATATTTTTCGTCAACTCTAAACCATTTTTTAACTAAAAGTTACTTAGCGAGTCGTGGTACGTAAACTAATAACCTTTTATGTACTATTAGTTGTTATTTATAGGTTAGTGAGAACCAATATGGAATTGAATTTCACAGTCATATTATCTCAGTTTAGGGGTTCCTAAATTTTTTTTTATAGCATAAGCCCTTAAACGATCAGACGGATCACCTGATGTTAAGCAATCGGCGTCGCCCATGGACACCTGGAACACCAGAGGCGTTACAAGTGCGTTACCGGCCTTTTGGGGATTAGTAGTTTTAGGATCATTGGGGATTCAAGAATTGGGGAGTTTGGAGAAGGGGAGGGTAATTGGGCCTCCGGTAACCTCACTCACACGACGAAACACAACGCAAGCGTTGCTTCACGTCGGTTTTCTGTGAGGCCGTGGTATCACTCCGGTCGAGCCGGCCCATTCGTGCTGAAGCATAACTCTCCCACACTTATAATAATTTAGGAGAGGTTATTGAAAATGGGAATTTCATTTTTGATATAGATATTTCTTTTGTATTGTCTTTTTCAATTATAAATATACGAGCCACATTATCCCAGGAGGGTTTGAAAAAAAGATGGCCATTAGTGTTGAAAACCTCAGCAATTTGGATCACCCGCAGAAAAATGTCACAATAGATTTCCGCTAGGTAATGCTTGGGCCCATCAATTACCAAGCAGAATGATAAGACGGATTTTACTTTTAGGTAAGCAAATACCTTTAAGTGTATAAAAATACTACCTGAATTTTTGCCTTTTCATGATCAGGACAACTAGTAAATGGGAGATATTAAATTTCATTCTTTCCTAAGGTCAAAAATGGATATTTATGCAAAGTTTTCACTGAGTATAATAAGCAATTTTTTCTACTAAAGTGTCATTGCCAAAACTGGTGAAATTTACAAAAACTGATATTTTTAGGGTCTTTTTTGGAAAAATCCGTCGTAATTATACGCCATTACATAACAAGATAATCGAAAATAGTCTAAAAGAATTTACATAGCAACATTCCCTAAACGTTTTTCTGTATCAAAGGTCCGAAATTGGATCCAATCGAATTTAGAGTACCTCAATTTGTCTTCATTTATTTTGATCTTGACCTGAGTAGTCTTCAAGCGACTGTAAATAAATTGGATGTAGGGATTTAAATTATTCTGAGCAGCGTTCCCTTGTATCCTCGTACATACATATACGTTCATTCGCGAAATGTGAGCGAATCTTAAGCGCTTTATGAGACTGCTTGATAAAAATGGAAATTTTCCGTAAGATTCTTTACAAACGATTTTGTATGGTTGAATTGGTCTTTGTGTTTTATTGGGAAATCATGTATTTGACCCTACCAAAATAAGTGTGAATGGAAAATCAAGATCAGTTTTAACAGAAATAGGCTATATATTTATAAAGCGGTTGAAGATAGAGATGAAATAATTTAAATAAAAATCTCTTAAAAACGATATTAGAAGCGAACTTTATAGAAGGTAAATTTCATGTGTTTAATGTTTTTAAAAAGATGTCTTATAGAAGTGCAGAAAATCAAAGGTGTATGTTAGTAGATTGCCAAGTTATTGTTTGCTAAAACCGCACGTTGATATTGTGATGGCTACGTTCGTGGGAAAAATGCAGGTGAACCTTTGTACAGTATGATTTATAAAGATTTAAACAATAATACACTGAATCAAAATTAAAGTGGTTGTTCATAAAAATTGAAATCTATTTAGAAAGATAATGGGATTTAGAAAATTTCATATAAAAGAATCTAAAAGTATCGTTAGATTGTAGACGTAGAACAAAATCACTTTGTATATATATATATACTTATTTAAAAAAAAGTAAAATTGTTATGCAAATTGAACTCCTTAAACGTAATATAAAGAGAAAATTTGATTTATCACCATGCTCCAAATAAGCATGTTCGTAACTTCATAACACATTACATTTTTACAACGAATGCAAGAAAAATATTAAAAATAAAAACACTCCCACCATAAAACTCCTCTTGCGAAGTACCGAGCACGGTCTTCCGAAGCAAACTCTCTTGAGTCTGGTAGCGAAAGTACAGGTAATGCTGTGATACATGCATCTGTCCAACTGTCCAGTAGTAGCAGATCTCAACAACTTGAAGCACTCTTCGAAATAACGAACCCAACAAGCCAGCTCTTGAGCTCCAATGAAATTGGACGCAAGTTTCCAAAGTCCACGTGAGACAAGATGGGCACTTCAAACGCTAATTGTTTGGTTAATTTTATATTTTGATTTAAACTGCAGTTAGAAAATAATGAGCGACATTTTATTGCCTTAACTAGATACTAGAAAGGTTTAGTACAATTTGCTGATTAAATAGGGATTCGATTTTGTAGCAATTGAAAGATTAAAATCAAGTTTTATATGATTAACAAAAATACGTGAATTAAGCAAAAGGCTCCGATTGTTTAACAATGTTCCAAATTTCAATAATCGTAATTGGAAAAGTTAATATAGAACTTATTGTTGCTAATTATTTTTCGCTACTAATAGTAGCAGATAATGTAGAGGTCACTTTATCCTTTTCAGTTTTGGAAAATTTTCTTGGAAATTCTTGATGAAGCAGGAATCAGATACTACACGAGTCGAAGATACCAGTACAATTGAATGCAGAAATGTACTTTTCACTTTAGTATATGGTGTAAACTCGGTAGTGTAATTGTATTCGTGCCACACGCTCGTTCAAGGGCAAGTAACATAAGCGATATATTGGATATTGAAGGCTGCAATAATAGTGTGAACGTACAGGTAGATGCAGAAATTGTAAAGCTTGTAGTGTAAATACTGAAGAATGATATTGAATGAGATGGCAAGGAGGCGAACGTACTATGATTTTTATTTACAAATCTGAAATTTGATATTTAAACAGTCAAAAAAAAATACCATATTTTATAAACACAAAGATACGGCGAGAAAGGATATTAAAATATGCACTATTGAAAATAAAATCTTGTTTTCATAACTGAATAAGATTTCTAGTAAATGAAAGCAAAAATGTATTCTATGCAAGGAAGACAAAAGAAGAAACATGGTATTTGAGTAAAGAATAAGTTAACCATGATGACTATGACAGTCCCTCCCAGGTTAATAAAGATTTTTAATTAGATGCCAATCATTGTGGTTACTGCGGCATGCCAGACAGATAATAGGCATATGAGGTAAAATTTATCACTGTTGCGATTTTACATTTATTTATAAAGAGCTGTTAGTATAATGCAATAAAAGATAATAAATAATTATACAATTGGTTTTAGAAACACATAGGGAACGTTTTATTAAACTCGTATGTTAATGACTAGGCGTAATCTTGAAATTGGTGTTGTGTCATAGTAACTTTTTAAGAATTCTACACGAAACACGTTACCTTCAAAAGGAGCTGGTGTGCCTTCCCGATTATTTCGAAGCATCGTTCTAAAACTGCTACAATAATACAAAATTAGAATAGGTTATATATGTATATTCTGATTACGAATCCTTACAAAGCTATTAATTCACGCAGTGATTTGGAAAACAAACTGTGATGATATTAATATAAATCTCATACACTTAAAAGATTCACAAGTCGTAGTCAAAAAGTAATATGATTAGAAACAATTTGGGCAACCAATTGCCAGTCAATCTTCCTCATAACGTCAGCCAATCAAATTGTTCAAAATAACAATAAACCCAAAATGAGAAGCCACAAAACTTACCTGCGCCGTCAAAAATAGGTCTTAACACAACTGCACAGAGTTCAAAAGGTTAGCGAAATGATGGAGAAATAATGCACGTCAAACCAGCATAGGTGATTGTTTGGAAATGGTTGCATTTGCTTGACGCCGTTCCTTTGCACATTATAATGTAGATAAGCTTGGATCGTACCTACGTGTTAAATAAAATTGTACTCAGTCAGTGGATGAGGCAGTTTTGATAATACAAAGTTGCGGTGTAGGAACATTTTTGGTAGAAAGAAAATCTTGATAAGTTTTGGGAACTACTTTTATGGTAATGTTGCTAATAAATATGAAGATAAACATTGAAAAAAAACGGAAGGCTTATCTTGATGTCTTGTGAGATATAAAGTCAAGAACAAAAAGTTGAAGATAAAGAAAATGTTCTACATGTTTAATATTGAGTTTAAAATAATAGTTTCTGCAAACAGGAATGGATTGTTTAGTATCTGGTAAGTACATACCTTTTTACTTTATGAAATTTTAAATATAGATTTAAAGATTTAACAAATATCAATTGGAAAATCTCTAGAAATCTGTTAGTCTTATTCGAAAAACTATTTTAGCTATAATCTGTTTATTGCAAGCAATTGACAAAAGCTGCCAAAATAGCTTCATCCCAGTTGAACATTTAGATCCAAATAAAACTCTCAAGCGTTTTGAACAAAATAAGTCAGAGCATATAAAAATAAAGAATATCAAAACTTATTCGTGTTCAGTGAACTGTGGGCTTGATTTAATATTTAAGTTCTGAAAAACATATCAAGAGAGACGTAAATCCTAGACCAAACTTTGTATATTGTACCTAACATGACTATTCGTCCCTCACGCCACCTACCGACCTTATAGGAAATTAATATTTTATTTTTAGCGCCAATATCGAGCGTGTGTTCGTGTATCAGGGCAATAATATGGCGCGGCCATATTTTAAAATGGCGTCAGGAACGAATTTAAAAAAGACCGTTACGTTCGATGCGATTTTAGAATTGTTTTTCTATTTTGATTTACGGTGTTCCATTTTTTATTTGTCAGTTTCCCATACAGGTTTTGGATTTTGCAAAAAATAAAACTTTACGGTAGTAAATCTTTTTGCCGTTTTTTTGGTAACAAAACGTGAAATTTGACATGTTAGGCGGAACAGTGAACCGAACAGTATTTGATACTCCTGTAACGTCGCATTAAAAAGGTCTCACAAATTAATAACAGCGCAAAACGACCTTTAATATAGTCGGTACTATAATTATGTTATTAAAATTTAATGTATGTGCATCGCAAAGGTGATTGTGTGTTTTTTTTCCTTGTTTAATTTATTAATAACAAAATCCTACCTTTCCTGTTTGGTTTTCTATCACGTGCAGCCTGCATGATATGATCCGGCGAGAAACGCCTGCCTAATGCCAATTAGCGAACAAAGTCGATGACTTTACTACCGAAAATGTTATCTTGAGAGTTAGAATTTATAAGAAGAGGCGGGATTACTACTTCTTATTAAGTTCTAGGGTTTTTGTATCGAGCAAACATGTTTTATGGAAATCGTTTTTAACCAAAATTGCTTGTTCATCTTTTTTTTATGGAATAGGAGGCAAACGAGCATACGGATCACCTGATGGTAAGCGATCAACGCCGGCCTAGGACACCCGCAACACCAGAGGAGTCACAGGTGCGTTGCCGGTTTCTTTATACCATGATTTTTCTATAAACATTATCCAATATTTCTTGTTTATACCACCAATTAATTATTAATTACAGCCTCATTGGTTCAGTATTCACTATTGCGAGTATAAGACAAGCTTACAAACAAAAAATTGTTAGCATAAACTCGCCTAAATGTTTTACTTATACCAAACTCGAAATACAAAGTGCGATTATGCATTCACTAGTCGAATCGTCAAGATAAGCGGAACTTTAACTACTATGTTCGAGTCAAAAGATCTTGACTTAGTATATAAAAAACATGACATCCGAACTATTTTTCATTAAATGTGAAGTACTACAGTATATTATTTATTTTCAATCAATTAATTTAATGTTATACGAAGTAGAACTACATGCTGGGCAATCAGCTACCGCGCAACGTGTAGCGGTTTCGATTCCCGCACGGAACAATTCTTTGTGTGATCCACAAATTGTTGTTCCAGGTCTGGGTGTCATGTGTATGTGAACTTGTATGTTTGTAATGCTCTCACAACACAGGTGAAAATCATAGTGTGGGGCAACATTTATTTTAAATATATATGTTCTTTTTTAATGGGGGGGAAATCATCTAATGACTCCTTCCACCGGGGTGAGGCGGGAGGGAGTGTCAGACTCTTACTGACTAAAATCCACCCCGTTCCTACTCCTGCACTTCGAGCTGGAGCCCCGGTAACCCATTAAGTTCGCCGCTCTTTGAGGCGCGCGGAATGCGACGCGGCGTACGCTCGGACCTGGTTCTGGTCGGGCGGCGAACCACCCATGCTCGCCGTCCGCAGGCCCGTGCTTACGGTGGCCGGAGATCGTCTCGCAATCCCCGACGCCCGGAGTGTCCGTCACAAAATAATATGTTTACATCCACATTTTCATAACAATTGTTCCTTGCGAACAATTTCATTACAATAGGATCTGTCTTTAGAACAAGGAGTGAGCACGTATTTACTATCATTTACCTTTATTAAGGTCTATTTTAATAGTCTTCTGGAAATAAAAATGTGAATTTAAATTTGCATAAATCCAAGTATCAAAACTAACAATGAAAATTAAAGCAATCTCACTGAACTGCTAAACGATGTAGACCACGAAGGTGTTTTGAAGGTTATCTGCTATGAATACGCGGAAATAATATCACACGTAGCAGAGTACAGTTAATGCCATAAAGAACTAGATAAGTTAATGGTATCGCTCAGTATGCCAAAAAAAACCTGTCATGGATTTGAAATTGCGTTGATATAAAAAAATCTAAAAGCAAATATTTCAACTAAACCATAATTTGGTACTTTTGAAACGTCAAAAAATACAAAATAAATAAAAGTCTGTCTTTATGTACGTCAATGAAACTAGGTGCTCGCATGGTAATAATAGTTATTATTAATATGTCCATGGGTGCTCGTTCGAATGTAGATTCGAATAGAGAAGAACGAGCAAAAAACTCCATTCGTTACTCTTCTGTTGTTTGATGTTGGACAATAACTGCCATAATGCGTTATTCTGTTTTTGTAGAATCAATATTATTTATGAATATTTTATAAATGTTTGATTATTTCAGTACCTAAAATTTGATGATTTAATCATTGCGATGATATGAATGATTCATTGATAGTTGACATAACATCATCACGCCTTTTATCCCCAAAGGGGTAGCTAGAGGTGTGCATTATGCCACTGTACAATGTAACCACCCACTTTTCACTGTTTATGTTATGAGTCTCATGTAGGGGGTGAGCCTATTGCCATAAACCGGGCACAATTCCCTACCCCGTGCTACCACTGAGAATATTTTTTTAAAAACCAGTAAGTAATACTTTGCCCGACCCGGGAATAGAAAGAACTCGAGTCAACGAGGCAGTCATAGTTGATATTTTAATAATCATTCAATTCTAAAATGATTTTGCACCCTAATATGTTATATTTGAATTTTCAACATAATTATTACTTCATTTCAAAAGCTGCGACATACTGTTTGAAATAATTGGTTTAACAATAATTTAAAAACAAATAAAAAGTCAGTCATTTCTAAAAAGTATTTAACTTACTTTGCTATTTACAATAACAATACTTTCAATTGATTAAAAGCTTAGGTTATATAGGTATATAATAAAATTAAAATAAAATACTTTACCCTCATAGTCTATTTCGCGATCTGGCGAGAGAAGTCTCAATCTCTTGTCCATTATTCCATCCTTCTTCTCATTCTCTTCCTTTTTCTGTTTTTTGATTGCGTCATAGTCCATTTCATTCCGACATTTTGGCGTTTTATTATACACTAAATATTTTGTTAGTTGATCCATTTTTAGACTTATGTTTTATTTTCTTTATTCGTGTCACTTTGTATGTTTATTAATTGTTTTAAGTTTTCATTTTGTTATATTCTGTTTGCTTTGACTCCATACTCTTGTAAATTGTATTTTTTTATTTGATATTTTGTTTATTGAATATGCGATGATGATATAATAGATATTAGTTTTTGTATGAGATTACTAAATTCAGAATATTAAATTCGAACACTCTTTATATTTGTTCATAGTCGTATTTGCTATAAAAGTAATAATTCTATTTATATTTGTTTTATATTGGAACAAAATTTACCTTTAGCCAGTTACTGTTTCATTTAACAGTTTATAATGATTTCTAATTTCAAATTATTATTTTCATTTAAACATAAAAATGCTATATTTTAAGCAACACATAAAAATAAATAACAACAATCAAAATTCTAAAAGGATATCACCTTAATCCAGCCGCACCTACTGCCTCCTGAATCGCGGGCGAAGTAATTCTCTTCGCGTCAAGCAATGCTTATGCAAATTACAATTTACATTTGCCGGATGAGTGGGCCATAGCGTCGCTTATCGTGTGACGACTGCTAATCTGTTTGTCGTTAAGATGTTTGAGAATTTCAATGTGTATGTGTTTAAACGTAAATCAAGTTGGCTGATGTATCTGGGTAGTTAAGTAAAGTATCAAGGATGATTTTAAGTTAGGTTCTATGTGGTATATCTTGG